GGTTAGACCAAACACTTACCTCGATGCCTTGAACACAACTCAAGTCTCAATTATAGCTTTACCCCTTGATTCCACCGCCAATTCGCTCGTATCTAATCACAAATTACTTAATTACATCAATAAGTGCTAAATGAATCAACCCCAATGCATGAAAATGAGTTTTCCAAAGTTTTACCCAAAAAGTCAAAAATCGCCCCCGGGCCCACGTGGTCAAAACCCGAGGTTCGAACCAAAACTCGTTTACCCATTCCCCCACGAACTCAAATATATAATTTGTTTTGAAATCGGACCTCAAATTGAGGTCCAAATCCCCAATTTTAGAAAAACCTAGGTTTTACCCAAAACATCCAGTTTCCCCATGAAAATCTTTGATTTTAAGCTGAAATCATGTTAAAAGATGTTAATGAGTGAAGAAAATAAGTTAGAAATCACTTACCAACGTTTTGGAGAAGAAAGGTTGTTTGAAAAATCGCCTCTTATGTTTTTGGGGTTTTGAAAAGTGAGAAATGACTGAAAATCCCGTTTATTTATACCCCTCTGAGACCCCCTGTGCGGACCGCATTAGATGGACCGCGGCCGCACAGGCTTACCTGAAGACCTGCAGTTCAGCACCCTGTGCGGACCGCACAAAGCCGACTGCGGCCGCACAGCCTTCACCGCGCCTCGCACAAAGGCGACCGCGGCCGTGCTGGCCCCTCCGCGGTCACACGCGATTTCTCACGGACCGCGTTAGAGGGTTCAGAGACCTGCAACTTCTAAACCTGCAACATCTGATTTTCTAAGCCTAAGGCATCCCGGAACCCACTCGAAACTCACCCGAGCCCTCGGAACTCAAACCCAAGTATACACACAACCTCAAAAACATCCTATGGACTTATTCGTGCGATCAAATCGCCAAATAACATCATAAACACCGAATAAACCTCAAAATCCAAGGATTCTTTCAAACTTCATAAAACATGAAATTTTCCAATTTAGGCCCGAATCACGTCAAACGACGTTCGTTTTCAACCAAATTTCACAGGAAGGACTTAAAACATATATAAGACCTGTACCGAGCGCCGGAACCAAAATACGGGCCCGATACCTTCGCTTTTTAATCAGATTTCATTTCCGATTTCCTTAAATAATTTCAGAAAACAATTTTACAAAAAAATTTATTTCTCGGGCTTGGGACCTCGGAATTCGATTCCGGGCATACGCCCAAGTTCCATATTTTCCTACGGGCCCTCCGGGACCGTCAAATCACGGGTCCGGGTCCGTTTACCCAAAACGTTGACCAATGTCAAATTTATTCATTTTAACATCAAAATTTAGCATTTTTCACAAAATTTCACATTTAAGCTTTCCGGCTACGCGCCCGGACTGCGCACGCAAATCGAGGCGATTCTAAATGAGGCTTTCAAGGCCTCGGAGACACAGAATTCAATTAAAAACAGGTGATGACCCTTTGGGTCGTCACAAAAACATAGCATCTGATAACTTGATTTACATGTTCTTCATATACTCGTATTTCATTGATTGACGCTAAGCACACGTGCAACGCACGTACACTAAAGCTAGTTCCATAAAATAATTAAAAGCGGTTTAAAAGGTTAAAAATGTGCATGTAGTAAATCTGATAATTAGGCCAATTAATAACAGTTTAAGCGACCGTGCTCGAACGACGAAACCGGGGAATGCCTAAAACCTTCTCCCAGGTTAAAAAAATTCCTTATCTAGAATTTCTGGTTTCACAAACTTTTTAAATTAAAAGTCGAATTTTCCTCGATTTGGGATTGTAAAATAAACCGGTGACTTGGGACACCATAATAAATTACCCCAAGTGGCGACTCTAAATAAATTAAATAATCTCATTTCGATTTATGTCACTTTAATTGGAAAAACTCTCTTATATACCCCTTCGGGTGAAAAAGAAGGTGTGACACTTCTCTAACATGTGACAATGGATAATCAGAGAATTTCCATCTTTTCCTTTTATCTGTGCCAGGAATTAGTATTAACGAGCAAGACAATGGATTTATAATGTGTAAACAGCATTCCTCTTGTTACATGGAAACGGTTTATTTTTCTTCCTTAGAATTAAGATTAGGTGTGGGGATTATGTCTTTTTCCATAGAAATTGTAAAAGTACTCCGTTTTAAAGATTGACTTAATTTAGAAGTACTTGAACCATTGCTTAGAAGAAACTCGAGTACCATTCAACATCAAAAATTTGAAATAAAATAGTGGTCTGTGGATACGCTTACGTGGGTAAAGTTTGAACTCTAAATTTTCCTTCTACTCCAACTAATTTCCGGCCAATTTGCATCCAAAGAGGTCAGTCCAGAACCAAACAAAACGTTACCTGATTTTGGTAGAGTACTGAATAAAGCATCAGTTAGGTATCAAACTTTGCCTTCATTAGCGCTCGTATGGTTTTATCAAAGGCGAATTCAAATTTAAATTTGACGGTTCAACCTCTACATTCTTATTACTAAACTAAACCAGTTACGCTTTAAAAATTAGTCTCAAAATTTAACACACATTTTATGGAAAACAACAACAACAACAACTACCCAGTATAGTCCTACAAGGTGGGGTCTGGGGAGGGTAATACGTACATAGGCCTTACCCCTACCCGAAAGGGCAGAGAGGCTGTTTCCAATCGACCCTCGGCTCAGGAAAAGGAAAAGGAAAACAAAAACAAAAAACAAAAAGCAAAAGAGCATTAGTAACTCCAGCAGAAATCACATAAATAATTATCTAAACATAAACCATAAATAAAATGGCATGCAAATATATCGACCAGTAACTACCATAAGGGGGCACAATACAATACACAGATCATCTATGGAGAGCCCTACCACCCCCCCCCCCCCCAGCCCCGGGACAGAAGTACAAAAAATTCTAGACGCCCCTATCCTGCAATCCTGATACTAGACCTCCAGACTTTCCTATCAAGGGCCATGTCCTCGGAAATCCGCATTCTAGCCATGTCCTGCCTAATCACCTCTCCCCAATACCTCTTGGGCCTCCCTCTGCCTCGACTCGCGCCAACCACCGCCAGCCGCTCACAACTCCTCACCGGGGCATCGGGGCTTCTCCTCCGCACATGCCCGTACCACCTGAGCCTCGCTTCCCGCATCTTCTCATCTACTGGGGCCACCCCCACCTTCTCCCGAATAACTTCATTCCTAATCCTATCTAACCTGGTGAGCCCGCACATCCACCTGAGCATCCTCATCTCCGCAACCTTCATTCTCTGGACATGGGAGTTCTTCACCGGCCAGCACTCAGCCCCATACAACATGGCAGGTCTAACTACAGCTCTATAAAACTTCCCCTTGAGTTTCTGTGGCACTTTCTTGTCACACAAGACTCCTGATGCAAGCCTCCATTTCGACCACCCCGCCCCTATACGGTGAGTGACATCCCCGTCGATCTCTCCGTCCCCCTGAATCACCGACGCAAGATATCTGAAACTGTCCCTCTTGGCGATGACCTGAGATCCAAGCTTGACGTCCCTGCCTACTTCGCTCGGCTCGACGCTAAACTTGCACTCCAGGTACTCTGTCTTAGCCCTGCTTAGTTTGAAACCCTTGGACTCGAGAGTCTGCCTCCAGACCTCCAACCTCTCGTTAACACCGACCCTCGTCTCGTCTATCAGGACTATGTCATCAGCAAATAGCATACACCATGGCACATCCCCTTGAATATGGCGTGTTATAGCATCCATCACCAAAGCAAATAAGAGAGGGCTAAGTGCAGATCCTTGATGAAGCCCCATTACCACCGGGAAATGGTCTGAGTCGCCACCCACCGTCCTAACCCTAGTCTTAGCTCCATCGAACATGTCCTTGATCACTTTGATGTAGGCTTCCGGCACGCTCTTCGCCTCCAGACACATTTTATGAAATTTTAGCGATTTAGCACATGTATACTCCATGGGAAAAATGTTTGATTAAGTTAAACCCATTAATTTAATGCTACATTTTCCACAACTCGTCATATTCTAACATCGGTTATCGGAGTAGAACGCATGACGTAACATATGGAGTAATATTAACAAGGTAAGTTTTGAATCTTAATCTTGTTTAATTTATATTTTTCTAGTTGCATAACCAAAAGTTACAAATTTAGTGTTACGAGCAATAAAGGTCAATTGTGAGTTATCAATTTAGTGTTAACTCTTCTGCAAATAGATGGGGAAAGAGTCATTTTGCATTTCTTCTAAATCGCCAAGACAAGGAAGCACGTTCTAAAGATGGAATCGGAAATTCTAACTGAGATCCACTAGATTTTGTGGGATTCTCAAGTCCAGGTAAAAATTGTCGAACTTTTAGAATTTCACAAAAAAAAAAACGTGATTTCAAGTACTAGATCATATTGGTGTGCATGTTGGTGAGCATTACTCATCATGATTGGAATTCGAAAAAGAAATTAATTAGTACAACGTTAGTAGTTAACGAGAGGATAAGAGATGAAAAATGCATATCCCACTCCATCCATTTAGAAGAATTTCTAATCAAGTACTCCCTCCGTTCACTTTTAGTTACCAAATATTTTAAAAATAAATTTTTATTTTTACTTGTCACTTCACATATCTAGAAAAAATAATTTATTTTTTCTATTTTGCCCTTAGCAATAAATACTCATTCCAAATCAATTAAGACTATACCCCATTAATATGGGTATCATGGTAAATTGTGCACCTTTATTTATTACTCCCTCAATTCACTTTTACTTGTTCATTATACTAAAAATGCATTTTCACTTTAACTTGTCCATTTTAGCAAATCAAGAGAAAAATTGAAAGACAATATGTTTTTCTTGTTTTACCCTTATCATTAACTACTTATTCCCCAAATTATTTCCCAAGACTTTTCAAAGTGCTATCATTTTAAAATACATACTACAATTATTATTTCTTAAGGGACGTGAAAAGTCTAAAGTAGCCAAGTAAAAGTGAACGGAAAAGAGTGTTTCTTAAGGGGTGTGCAAAGTCAAAAGCGGACAAGTAAAAGTGAACGGAGGGAGTAATTCCTAAAAGAAGTTACAAAGTTAAAACAAATACTCAAGCAAATGTCACCTAAGCGACCATGAAAATGGCTTTCTGTAAATCAGCCATGCTTTTTACCTCAGCTAGTACAAATCAACTACATACCAAAAGGAAAAATATTAAAGTGGGGAAAGGTAAGGGGGGAAAAAGAAGGAAAATAAGCTCAAGTCGAGAACTCAAGAAACGCCTATACTCTGCTTGTTAGCATCGCGAATATATTGCCAACTCTATTGTAGGGAATGAGGAAAGTCAAATATCATTGGCCATGTCAACTAAGGAAGCATTTTTCACAGTGATTTTGGCCAGCCCATATTTGCAAACATAGACATACCATGCATAGGTTGGCCAGCATTAACAAAGGGTCCAGGTTCATGGTGGAAAGGACTGTTGCCATTTTCATCAGATGAGTCACTCGAGGCACCCTGAGAAGGAGGGCTCGTTTCTGTGACTGGAGCACCAAAATTCAACATATTGGATGGTGGTGTCGAAGATGGTGCCTTAGACTTTGGCTTTTTTCCTTCTGCAATGAAGCTACCTACAATTACCTGTTCATGAATTTAAATAACAGTTAGTAATGACATATAGTGCACTCAAACATGAGGGGAGGGGGAGGGGTACAAAGGTAGATAGAACAGCACCTGCACGGGTGTGGCAGCCATAAGCATTCCTGCAACTCCACCACCCAATACTCTACCATCTGAACCAGCCAGCGACACACTTAGACCACTTGCTCTGCTGCTGTCATTACTTTCCGACCGCAGGAAGGAACCTGACAAGGAGATGATTTCAAATCGGCCCTGCATGTTAAAATATATCATGAGATTACTTATTGAGAAAAATATAAATATACCATATGAGATTATTAGTATAGGTACTATACTAAATAATTCTGTGTATTACAAGCCAACAACCTAACTCATCCAACGCCACTCACAATCAGATCAATACCATGTTCTAGAAAAGTACATTGATCAATTAAGATTCCATTTAAGCTCCACATGATCATATGCACAATTCACTAATGGTCATTCAAGTTACGCTTTGCGTTTTCTGTCACTTAAAAATCATTTTTCTAAAGCCTAGTTAAAAGAAATATAAAAGTGGCCGGAAGATGCAAATTTTGGCACGAAATCTGATGCGGCTATCCTAATCCGCTAATTAATTTAATAAAATTGATGGAATGTATTAATCCATTTTAATATAAACCCTTAACCGACCCATACCTACTCACCAAATGGGTCAATAACCCATTTGACCCTTATTCACAAATGGGTAAATATAAAAGTTAACTACCCACCATTTTCCACAATACTTGTCCATTCTCTTTCACTTTCTATCCTTAGGCGATTTAAGGCTCCAAGACACAGTTTTTGAAGAACTTTTGTGTAAAAAGATGGAATCCTCTTCCGTGAAAAGGAATAATTTAATAGCTTCACTGCTGGGGTCCCTCAAGCCCCCCCCCCCCCCCCTTGGTCGTCTGCTGCTTTAGTGGACAACAAGCTGAAGCTGCGCAGGGACAGGTTGAAATCAAGGTAAAAAATTAATATTTTCTTGTTGTTCTTGTTTGTTTATGTCTAAACACAAATGATCCTTTTTCTGCATTGTTCCAAATGGCAAATTTAAGCAAGCCAATTATAACCACAAATTAAAAGCTATGCACAGAAGAACCAATCAACTGAAGCTCACTTGCGATCAGTTAAATTAGCTCATCAAATGTATATCTAAGCAGGTCGAGTTCGACCGCAACTTTAAAGCTCCCTACAAGCATCAAAAATCAAACTTGACTAGCCCTGGATCTCCAAATAAAGGAGTTCAATCTCAATAACTAAAAAAGTTCACTTGGCAAATTGGTAACTATATACATTTGAAAGGGGAAAACCTTGCCCTATTTCATGCTTTTACCTCTCAATGGCTTCGCCTAACTGAGCTTAACAGAACCTCGAGCAAATAAAAAATAATTATAAGTGAACCGCAAGCAAATAATGATTCTTAAAGAAATGATTGGCGCTAAATAAACCTTGTTTAAGCACTATGGAAATTATTACCTAAGGTTAGAAAACACAAGTCTGCACTGGGGAGAAAGAAAACCTACCTATAAATATGCTGACCCATGCTGTTTGATTATAAAATATTTAAGTTTTAAGTATATGCTCATCATAAACTATTAATTCTCCTATTTTCAAGGCCAGTTTCTGTAAGCCTGCAATCGAACAAAGCGAATTACTTTTTTAAAAGTCTAACCAACTGTTAGCCTGGAAAGTAATGCTGCAAGGACTGAAGGACGCAGATAGCAAATTAAATATTATAGTGACCTAGTAATCTCCGCCACCCCTTACTATCATTTTAACGCAGTCAGTCCTAGTTATCTACAAAGGAAAGGTTTGCCTAAGTTTTGCAAGAGAATTAGAAAGATGCTTTAGGGAAGAGAGTTATCAATCTCCTTAAAGAAAGCGACCTAAGAGAGTGGATCCAATTTTAAGACAATCCTTCAGACAGAACTTAAGAAAGTGATTTTTTATGGCATAAAATGCACTTTTATCTTTCCATCATTGGCAAGGTTAAATAGACAGCTAATTCTAGCAACCAAAATTGTATCAATGGTTACTCTCCATTGCAGTCAAGATCAATTGAAATAAGACCTATCTCGAATATCAACCAAATGAAGACAATAGAAATATCAAAGTCAAACAAATTGACAACAGGAAACAGAAAAGAATTTTGATCTTCGTTCTCAATGGCTAATTCCGCATTGCAAAGCTGAGGTCATGTCCTATATATAGTCCAAGTTGTTTTCCAACTCAAAGAAGATAAGCAACGTTTCACGCTGAGATAAACAGATCAAATAGATCTCAGAATAAAACTTAAGTACTGTTCAATAACAGTTTTGCTTTTTGCCCACAAATAACTAGGCCTCACTCAAGAAACAAATCTATAAGCATTATTGCATTTATGAGTGTACTACTATCCACTGAAGACTTTCCAGTGTTTCAACCCATTAAAACCAATCCATCACACAAAGGTGCACATGAAAAGCAAGGACTAGGTCTAACACGAAATAGAAAAAAAGGAGGAAAGATTGAATTAAAAAGCAGATAAAAAGAGATGTGGTTTATATTACCAAACACTTCTATAACGAAATAGAAAAAAGGGAGGAAAGATTGAATTAAAAAGCAGATAAAAAGAGATGTGGTTTCTATTACCAAACACTTCTATAGTTAAACTCCCTATTTGTTATCAATCCACCTGACAGATATGTGCCTCAAAAATGTACAAGGACACAAATGAAGATTCTCAGGGTAACTAATGTGTTTCATACAAACCTATAACCAGTAATCAGGCAATAACAAGGACCAAAAAATGGTATCAGTTCACAACAGTTTTTTAACAATCATTTAAAAAAGGATTCAATGAAACAAACCAATAAACTTAGCAAGGAGTACAGGAAATATTCCAAACTATGCTACGTCAAGAGTCAATTTTTCAAGAAGTACTAAGAATGTTAGGTGAAAGTATGTATATAAGATGGAAAAGCAGATACTTTAGAACAGGCTACCATTAACTCCAGTGCACAGGCACGATAGGGAAAACTATATGAACTAAGATACTGAAACAGAAATTGTCTTAAAGGCAAATGCATACAAACCTCGTAGGACACAGTGCCACCTCCCATTGCTGGTTGGCGAAGGGTGACGTTACAGATGGCTCCATTCGCAGATAGTATACAAACTGTACGTGGCCCCTGCTGGGAGAAGGCCATTATTTTTGATGCTATGTCCTGAAAACGAGGAAACAGATTCGCATCATATTGAACAGCCAACTGAAGATTCACAGGACTAGGAATTTATTAGAAGTCAATTTTAACAAAGACAGATAAAGCTAGAAAACAAAGGCTTCAAACTGCATCAATGCTCTGCAAAACCGTAACCAAAAAAAACAAAAGCACCCCACCACCAAGCCCTTTAGTAGATACAAATCTATGAACCATGGGCAGCAAAAATTAAATATGTACATCTACCAAAGGTGCACCTTCTCAAAAGATATGTCTAAAACGGTAAAACCTATCCAATGCTTTTGATTTTGCAGCATACAAACCAAGGTGCAACAATTTTGCATAAATCTTGATAGGCACATGCAATCTATCTGTTAAAAGCCACCCATTCAAAAGTCTAATCAAATGCTGAAAAGTATACCCTACAATTTTCGTAATACTAATTCACAATTAAAATAGTTGAGATCTCCCAAACAACATGTACATCAAAAAGAACAAAGTAACTTCTAGTAACAAGTTAGAGTCAAGGATACGAACCTTGGCCTGAATAAATAAAAATGATATACAAACTAAGTAATTTTTGCAAATTAAAACAAAAACGGACTGAATAAGCAAACGAAGATCGACATACTTGAACCTTACCACTGCAACCAGTCAATTGAACTGGTCATATACAATGTCAACCACCAATGACGTCGAAACAACATGCTGGAAACCCTACTTACTTCCACAACCAAAACAAGAAGTTCTATACACAATATTCTTTACAGAATGAGATAAAATGATAATGTAAATTGATTAATTCCAAATAACAAGGACTACAGTATTAAGCATAAATTAGTTCGTTATTTCCAAATCCATACTTCCCCAAATTTCCCCATTTCAGGTTTTAGAAGAGTTAGTTTCGCGCAGGGCACCTTTACTAATTTTCCACAAAAAAATAAACTAATTAATTGCACCAGCCACTTCCTGGTGCAATATTTACACCTCTTGCTTTCCCAAGACACCAGTGTGGAAAGCCTACCTTCCCAATGCCCAGGATACCTCTCAAAGCACTCCAGCTGATGACCAAGGGAGCAAAAGCACACCAGGTAGGGGGATTTGGTAGTAGAATTACTACACCTTAGGGGTGAGTAACCTTCAAGCCAGAAGATACCTAACAATGCCTCAATCCCAAATAAACTGTGATCGCTAGAGTAAAAAGAATTAAGGTGTCACATTTGAGTTAAGATTTTGTCTTTTTACCGATTACCTGTTTTGTTAACATACAGGTTTGACCAGGAATGGAAAAAGATTGAAGAATTTGTCAGATCAGAAACTGGTATTCAGGTAATATCAGGTTAGCCTAGCACATGCACATCTTATTATACTGACTGGTTACTGCCATCGAGTTAACTATCTTTTTTATAAGAGGCTACATGAAACATCACTGTCCATGTAACTCCATTTAAATTAACAGTCCAATATTATATAAAACATAATTTAAGAAAAAGCACTAGAAGTTCTTTATAACTCTACCGCGTATATAAATATCTCTGACAAGATGACAAGACTCCTGGAAACATTGGCCTTAAAGTAAACAAGAGATCATGAATAAACTTAATCCCAACTAATTTGCATCGCCTATATAGATCTTTTCCCCTTCCTTCAACAATGCAAAATTTAAGTTAATTCATAATAACAAGAAGATTTCTTAAATTAAAGTTCTACTATATTATTCATAATCACTACCATATCCATCCATATCATCTCCTCGATGGTTCTTATATATATTGCTTGAAATAGCCATCTAATCTCGTAGAAAAAAAAACAAAACATAGGTCAGCTCCTGTGGGCACGTGAGGCGCATGCCTTAGCATCATTGTGCCTACACTAAGTGCCAAGCCAGTGTTTATAAAAGCAAAAATCGCGAAAAAGTGACAAGCTTCATGGGGCTTGAAGCAAAAAGCGAGAAGTAAAACGTGCTCTTCTTTGAAGTGAAGCACACAACTTACAAAAAATTAAAGAATGCGAAATAATATAAATTTAGTAATATAATACTCCCTCTGGTCCATAGTAAGTGATTTCTTTACCTTTGGCACATCCATTAAAAAAATACTAACTCCCAGAAAAAAATAGATATTGTGACTAAACTACCCTCAATTAAAATTTGCATGAGTAGTTATAGTAGCACTTACCGTAGCTCTATTATACTCCAACTTTAAGTGGCACTTAGCGAAGCAACAAATAAACCTTTAAACTTCTCTTCTCAAGTCACTTCTCAAGTCACTTCTCAACACATAAATCTAATTATATTAATGGCAATCAGCCTGAGAATGTGATAAAAATGTGAGGATGTTATTACATCAATTGCTGAACCTATTTAATGTTATCATTAAAAATTGGAGTAAGTTAAAAAACTTTCTAGGGATAAGTTAATAAGGATAAATTTGGAAAAATAAAGTGAATTCTTTCTTGATTATTATGTAAAAGGACACTTGTTTTGGACCAAAATAAAAAGGTAAAGAAGTCACTTATTATGGACCGGAGGAAGTAATGAATTGCAAGTAAAATAATTAACTTTAGCATCAAAATACAATGATGTCGATCGATATTAGTTCAACTTCTCAAAGTTAATAACTAGTTGCTTCTCCTTTGGGTTACCTTGAGCATCATTGTCTGAAGCGCACATATCTCTATCAAGCCCATGGATTCACCTATAAAGCGCTACCCTCGCTTCAGATGACAAAGCTATGACTCTTAACAACAATGTGCCAACTAAACAAGGTAACCACTCAGCTTGCTCTACACCTAGGTTCAGGGCTAAGCAAGTCTCAAATGATATTGTGAGCTCCACGGCCAATCCTAGATCTAAAAGTCCCAAGATGAATCCCTCCAACCCTTTGGATCAAGGATATCATTCAAGGAGGAGCAACTAAATTACTTCTCATGTTACACTGATACGACTACATCCCTCTTGAGCTCTTGTGCAGCAAAATCGTTGACTTTCACCAATGAAATCTTCAAATTGTAGCAACAGTTACATAAATGCATACATTCCCTATGCTATAAAAATCTCCAACAAGATTGTTGGTCATTTTTTGTCTCATTTGCATATCAAAGGAGACAGAAATGTGACTTTCCTTTCAGTAAATTCGGGGAGTTTGCAATTTCACCAAAAACAGATGCTTCTGTATCAAGAATTCACTCCCTCTCAAAAAATATTTGTCGCAAAGTCATTATAATGCAAAAAGCAGTGTAAAACATGCATATAACAGTGTAGACACTTTTTAACACGTTCAGTATGTTAATGAGAATGTTTTGTAAAAACAGCTTAACATACTTTACCAAAAAAGAAAATAAAAAACAAATGAACAAATTATACCTCCCCAACATTCACTGTGATCACATGGGGCGTAAAGCCGACTCCAGCTGCACCTGTCAACCATCAAGAATGCCAAGAATCACTTACTGCAAGCAAACTGAATTGTATAAAGAAGTTCAAGAAACCCAAAAGGACAGTATTTTTTTTTCTTTTTTCCAAACAAGTAAAAAATCAAATTACAACAACAGCAATAATATACTGTATATATACCTAAAGCATCAAGCTGTTTCTTTGAAGAACTAGGAGGCCTTCCTCGGGCCTTTTTGGACGGGTTCTCTGAAGATGTACCCTCCACATCACCACCACCCCCAGAATCTGTATTCGTCGGCACCACAGAAGAAATAGGGGTAACAGGAGTAGGAGAGAGACCCAAAGCAATGTTACCATCAGGAGAATACTTTCTGGGTCGGCCCCTTTTCTTCCTGGCAGGCTCAATGCTGAACCCAGTAGTAGCTGCCCTAGGAGATGATGCATCTGAGTAATCAAGATTGGGTTGTTGGACTGCAGAAGCAGAAGCAGTATTCGCCACTGAATTAAAGGGGAACCCAGAATTCTGTTGCTGGTTCTGGTGTTGGTGCTGCTGCTGCTGGTGTTGAAGCTGTTGCATCATGGCAGAAGAATTGTTGTTGTTATGTGTTGGAACATTGTTGGATACAGCATAGGAGTTGGCTTGTTGCTGCTGTTGTGGGTGCTGTTGTTGTTGATGTTGTGGATGTTGATGTTGTGGGGGTTGATGTTGTTGTTGGGGTCGTGCCATCATCATAGGATGGCCATGTGGCGGTGTATGATGTTGGTGGTGTTGGTTTTGGTGGTGTTGAGGGAAAGAATGAAGATGGGGGTGTGGGGATTGGTGATGGTGTTGATTTTGGTGGTGACCCGCTTGTGATTCTTGGGAATCCATGGAACACAGAATTATTCTGGTGAAAAAAGGGAGTTTTCAAAAATGTAATCAAGGGGGGTAGGGGAAGGTACTGTTTCTGTCCACTGAATACCTACTACTGTGGAGTGAGAGAGTACAAAATGAGGAAAAAGAGAAGAGTGGGGGGGAGAGAGGGTGAAAACAGTGAAAAGCGGAGGAGAAGTTGGACTAAGGGGGGAAGACGCAGATTGGAATTTTAGGGTTTTATGATTTTTTTTTTATTTTTGTGCTTGCGGATCTGTCTGGCGACTGCGTGGTCTTTACAAACTATCACAACAAATAGTCATTTTATCAAAACTTTGCCGTATAATCCAGATTAGTATTAGCACCCACGCGAAACACTATTTATGCCAAATATTTATTTATTTAAATTATGTGTCAATAATCTTAGAATTTAAAACTTCTTGATAAATATAAATAATTATTAAATATTAATTAAGATACAGTACATGAAAAAGATTAACCATTTCTCAAATTTCCTAGTTATAATTCTATTTTCTGTTATGGTGTCATTCTCATGGGTGTCATTGGATCTTGAAAATAGTCATGAAGCAAAATAATAATTCATATCTATAGCAAAACAATCAAAGGTAGGGACTATGAAGGATTCTTTGGATACGACTTGACTATTGTATTACTACTTGAACTCTTATTTGGTGCGCTGATATCTTTCAAAAAATATTTTCTATTTTAAAATTTTAGTTTCACAAACTTTATTTTTCAAATCGAATTAGAATGAAATAGATTCATTCAGTAACTTTCACAACAATCGGAATTTGACCTCCTGTGCCTGTGAATTAAAGAAAGGAGGAGGTCAATAATAATTATTTTTATGATAATGGAAGTAAAAATATTATCCTTAATTCAAAAACTCAGTTTAGTTGGGTATCTAAAAATTTAAATAATTTTTTAGCCAGTGAATTTATTTTTTCCAGTATGACTCCATTTTGATATTTGACACTAACCATATTAAACATCTGAATTATTTGAATTATATGTAAACAACCTTAAAATATAAACTTTCTATATGATTATAGATAATCGTCAGATATTAATTAAGAAATACTATATGAAAAAAAACTAATACTTTTAAAATCTTGTAGTGATTTTTTTTATTTTGCACCATTCTTATTGGAGTCGTTAGAACCTAAAAATAGTCACGTCGTAATCAAAGAGTTGTTCATATTGTGTCTGCCTATATATATATATTTCAAAATAAAATATTTTTTTGAAAGATAACAACAACCAAAGAAGAGTTCAAGTCATAGTAAAAGAGTCACGTCGTAATCAAAGAGTCGTTCATATTGTGTCAGCCTTTGTACTTTGCCATAAATACGAGTTATTATTTCGCTTCGTGACTATTTTTAGGTTCCAATGACTCCAATAAGAATGGTGCAAAATAAAAAATGATTAGCTTTATAATGATTCAAGTGAAGATATCATCCTTAATTTAAAATTCACTTTAATCGGCTATCTAAAAATTTAAATAATTTTTTAGCCGATGAAACTTTATTTTAGTATGGCTCTGTTTTGAGTTTATCGATATCTCTAGCCACGGATTTTAAATTTTGAATACCCTATATATACAAATTTTTTGTTCTTTGAATCATTAAGTGTTAAATTAGTCGATTGTTATTATATAACATTGCACATATTGTCTTAAAATTACCAAGTAATTTTTTGTTGACACCATACTTGGCTTAACATCAATGCAAACTACTCAAATTGCATCTAAAATCATATTCGAATATCATATCAGTTTGTTAGTAATAGTAATTTTTAAAAATGACACACAATATAAATTAAAAAATATATATATACTAAGATATCCTTATGTTATAATCTATGTATTTGAATTGAAAAAAATATTTTAAATCAATGAGAACAGCTTCCAAATTTTTTATACTTAACAGAGATAAGAGAGAAGAAGAAAGTCATTGTCATCTCTATTTTTTGGTTCTTAGATTTTTCATACATTTTTTTATATTTATTTTCTTTTATCTTTTTATGTCTTTCTTTCTTTTGTAACAAAAAATTAGTTTATTCGCTAGAAAATGATGATTTTTAATAGAAATTATCTACATAAGAAATTTATTTATATTTTTAGTCTTTGGTTAAAATTATTTAATATTTTTCTTTTGGCTTTATCAAATCAACCTAAAAATGTGCTCACCTAACACTTAAATTAAAAAATTAAAGGATGTGTAATTTATATATAATCCATATATGTGTATAATCATGTATTGTCAGTATATCATCTATAAAAGATCAACGATAAATTTGGCCGGAATCGGGGCCTCGAGCTGACGTATATGGGCCTCGAGGTTGAGCCGAATGCTCGGCTAAGCACAACCGAGGGGGATTAACCGTTATGAGAGCTGCGAAGGCGACTATTTATGATCAATAATGAGCAATAAATGAAGAACAATTAACGAGATATAATAAATGTAAATAAAGCAACAAACATAAGCAATAGAGCCCAATAGAGAGTATGTTTGAGTTAGAGAGCAGAGAGAATGTTCTTGTATTGAATATTGAGTATCAGATGTTCCTTACAAAATGACAAGGATCCCCTTTATATATGAGGGGAAATCCCAACATAGTACAAATGCATTTTATTATAAAGATATGAGATTGATACAACTATTTAATGCCTCGTTACGGGCGCACATCTGCCTTATATACAGTGAAATCGGAGGGTCCAATCTCTCGTCATTAAGGCACTTCGAATGATCACCTCGAAAGCTCGAGGCCACGGCCGAATATTCCTCCCTCGAGGCTCGTCGACGCTCGAACTTGGGACAATTTTGACCACGGGTATGGTGGAAACGGGGAGTTCCCAAGGTACATGGCTAGGACTGACAGAGCCTAGTGGACTATCCTAACCCTGAATCAGGGTGTCATATCTAGTTGTCCCATCTCCGCTTCTTTGTCATTAATGCATTTGTACTATGTTGAGATTCCCCTCCTATATAAAGGGGATCCTGGTCATTTTGTAAGGCTTGTTGCTTCAGTTGCTCCACACGAAATATACAAGAACATTCTATCTGCTTTCTAACATATTCTCTTGATATTATTGCTTTCATTTATTATCTTCATCATTGTTCGTCATTTATTGCTTATCATTGGCCATAAAGAGCCTTCGTTGATTTTATTATAAATATTAGTCGTACTTCGACCACCTTCGATAGCTCATTGTCAAGCTCCGGGATCAACCTCGAGGCCCCCGAATCGACAAGCTCGAAGCCCCAATTGTTAACCTATCGGTTTGATTATCACCATACCCTTACCTCTTATTTCGTTTCTAAGTCTCACATACATAGCAACTGCTTGACAACTAGCACAAAAATAGATCACGTATTTTTAAAGTCCCATAATAAAATTTAGTTGTTATTACCATTTTCATGCTAAACAGTTTGGCGCCCATCGTGGGGCTAAAAATAATAGTGATTATTTTCTTGCTGGTTCCATTACACAACGCAAGTTATCTTTCACGCTCTTTTCTTGTCCAAAGATCTTTGATTTCAGGTCGAAATGTCTGATTCAGTAAATAACAATCTTAAGAACCACGGAGAGAATGGTGTGGCTGTTCCAGGTGTTGGTGAGCCACCACGAAACCTTGAGAACGCACCAGGACCAATTCCGGTGGACGAAGTCTCGTGCAACGCTCAACACGTCAAAATAAGCTCCCACACTAACAGGAGCATACACCAAGGCGACCAACCAGAGGCTCAGAAAACCCCAGCTCGGGAAGAACGGGAGGTTAGCCTTCATGTTATTTTTGAAATGTTGCAGGCACAACAGCTGGCCATTACTCAGCTGCAAAGTCACCAAAAAACTCCTAGCACAATAGCACCGGGGACAGCTCCCCTAGCTGAACAGGTACCAGAGAGATCGAGCAATAACGGGTCGATAACCGATCCTGTCATCGTAAAAATGCTGGAGGACCTCACCAGAAGGGTCGAATCAGGCGAGAAAATGATAGAACCAATTATAAGAAGGTCAAGACTTACAACTCCAGGGTCGACCAAATTCCAGGAGCGCCCCCGATCGTGAAAGGTGTGGACTCAAAGAAGTTCGTGCAGAAGCCGTTCCCACAGGAAGCTGCCTCGAAGCCCATTCCAATGAAGTTCAGAATGCAGGACCTTCCGAAATACAACGATACCTCGGACCCCAATGAGCACGTTACCGCTTACACCTGTGCAGTAAAGGACAACGACCTGAAGGACGACGAGATCGAGTCCGTCCTGCTGAAAAAGTTTGGAGAAACACTTTCTCAAGGGGCAATGATGTGGTATCATAACTTGGCCCCAAACTCCATAGATTCATTTTCCATGCTGGCAGACTTCTTCAAAAAGGCGCATGCCGGGGCCATCAAGGTGGCCACGAGGAAATCCAACGTCTTCAAAATCAAGCAAAGGGAGAACGAGATGCTGCGAGAATTTGTATCTCGCTTTCAAATGGAACGAATGGAACTACCACTAGCCTCTAACGACTGGGCAGTGCAGGCCTTCACTCAAGGTCTGAATTAGTGAAGCTCGGTGGCTTCGAAGCAGCTGAAAGAGAATCTGGTCGAATATCCCGCCGTGGCCTGGTCGGACGTTCACAACCGATACCAGTCAAAAATCAGGGTCGAAGATAACCAACTGGGAGCCTCCTCGGGCTCGGTATACCCAAGTAGGATTCGGGCAAAGGAGCCAAAACCAAACAAAGAACGATATCAGCCATACATCGAAGACCGGAGAAACGCCCCAAGGCACAACCTACCTCAAAACGATCGAAGGATAGACCGAGGACAGAATCCTCAGGGACTCATCAATAGAGCCGGTTTCGATAGGAACGCAGGACCAACAGAGGCACCTCGCTTGTCAGAATACAACTTCAACGTTGATATATCGGACATTGTCTTTGCCATCTGCAAAATTAGAGACGCCAAGTCGCCCAGGCCTGTGCAATCGGATCCTTCGCAAAGGAATCATAGCTTAATGTGTGAATTTCACAACACACATGGCCACAGGATCGAGGATTGCCACCAGCTTCGAGAAGAAGTAGCGGGTTACTCAATAAAGGTCATCTCCGAGAATTCCTAAGCGATCGGGCCAAAAATCAGTTCCGAGAAAGAGAGGTGGCCAAGAAGGGCGAAACGAATGAGCCGCAACATGTCATCCACATGATCTTGGGAGGCGTCGATGCCCCATAGGAACCCGTGATGAGAAAGACGAAAATATCCATCACTAGAGAAAAGCGAACCCG